TTTACTTACTGTTGAAGTTTTTAGCTATAAAAAATAGTAATGATAATTACACACATCTTTATTTGATTTCTTATGTTAATGGAAACATCGCTGGTATTTCCCCATCTCGATTTTATCTAAAACAGTTTTCTTCGCTACGTCAAAAATGTGTCTGTTACTCTTAGTTTACTAAGCTTTTTCTTATTTTCTTTTAATAAATGAACAATAGATATTAAACTTTGTCAACTTTTTGGATCCATGGAGATAGTGATTAGTTTTTGAATTTTAGACTTTTTCTTAAAGGACCTTAGTTTTCCTTTAACTTTCCATAAGTATATTTATTTCCTTTGTAGTATATGTGGAAACTTGAGGTCCAAGTTGTATTTGAACATCTCCAGTGAAAGAAAACTAAAACAAAACAAAACAAAAACCAGCAAAAACAAAATAAGACAAAAAAGCAAAAGTGGTTCAGTCCATTCTTGATATGTCTTTATTTACCAAACTTGGGTGACATTGTTCTATAAATCAATACTCTTTTCAACCATCTTCTAAATATTTATGAATCATTCCTTTGTTACCCAGCTCATATTTTTCAATCATGCTGACCAACATATCACACTATGCTCTTGGTAAATAGTTTACTAAAAATGTCCCAATAATTATGCCAAAAGAGATGTTAATGTAGTCCAACATAAATTTTTCTCTAAGTGAAACCTCATTAATCACAAGTGCTTATAAAATAAGTCTGTGATAGTGTTAGAATTTTGGACAATATCTATGTCAAGCTCAAAATACAGCAAAAATGAAATTAGCAATCCATAGAGTCTTCTATTTGTTTCTGATGGTTAATAACTTAACATTTTAGCTGCAAGAGAGATACTAAATATAAATTATCATAACCTCTTTATTTTAAAAATTAAGAAATTGAGGTTCATAGATATAGTAGCACCGGCTCAAATTTGCCTCAAACTGGAGTTTGCAGAGCACCTTCATTCATAGAGAATCAGCCCCTCTGCAACTTCTGAGGTGCTTCTGTTTTTACATGTGGTAGGAGTCAGGGCTTATGCTTTAAAATATCCAGATGAAACCATGACTAAACTTTTATCTGTGCTTCTGGCCAACCAACTCCAAACTAGATTTCCCAGAGACTCCTATGCTAGTTGTTTCCCATCAGCAGCAGCAACTCACAAACTGCAGCTTTGTGTAACTTTTGAGCTTCTTGAGTCATTAAGCATTTAATGTTTTCTCAACCTTTTGCTCCTAGTGGCAATTTCTTTTCCTTTTCCTTTGGGGCTCTTGCCTGAGACTTCCAAGAGCAGGGGTCCCCAAACCCCAGGCCATGGACTGCTGCCCATCCTATTAGTAACTGGGCCACACAGCAGGAGGTGAGCAGTAGGCAAGCCGGCGAAGCTTCACGTGTATTTACACTTTTCCCCATCACTTGCATTACAGCCTGAGCCTCTACCTACTGTGAGATCAGTGGGGGCATTAGATTCTCCTAAAAGAGTGAATCCTATTGTGAACTGCACATGTGAGGAATCTAGGTTGTGTGCTCCTTATGAGAATATGCCTGATGATCTGTCAGTGTCTCCCCTCATCCCCAGATGGGACCATCTAGTGGTAGGAAAATGAGCTCAGGGATCCTATCAATTCTACATTATGGTGAGTTGTATAATTATTTCCTTATATATTAAAATTTAATTATAATAGAAATAAAGTGTACAATAAGTTTAATGCACTTAAAAACTCCCAAAACCATCCATCCCACCCCACAGGTCCATGGAAAAATTGTCTTCCACAAAACCAGTCCCTGGTGCCAAAAAAGTTGGGGAACACTGCTCTAGAGGACAATTCTTTTTCTATGCTCATTTTTCTCCTATCGGCTTTTCAAAACACTGTTATTATATGTATATTATGTGAATACAGCACATATGCACGTACACACATATAATATATATGTATTTTATATGTATGTGTATTTTATAATATATATGTATTTTATACATACATACATATAAAATATCAGTGTTTGTAAAATCAATCTATTAATCAAACAGTGCAGATATGTATAATGAGGCAAAGGTCCTCTCTCATTGACATCTCTTCCTCTGCCCAGAGACACATAGATCAACTTCATTGTCATATCTCAGAATTAATGATTGAGTGTTCATTTTATTTCCGTAGCATCAACATACTACATAAACATACATAACCTATAATTGCATAGCAATTTCCAACTCTGTAAGAACTCAGTCCTGCTCTCACCCAACAATTTTAACTTTAAAAACTATCATTTCTTTGTTCACTCAGCTTTCTTCGTGACTCCAAATCTACTTCATACTTCAATATTAGATGCAAAAATATATTATTTGATCATGTTTTGTCTTTTTTTAAATTGGTTTCACCATGATTTTAATGTGAAGTGATAAAACTGCATGGATAACTATATAATGAGGGAAGTTAGAGATTGAGCCATAATTGTATACCAGCTTACTGAATAAACTGAATAAACTGAAGCAGAGAGATTTAATGACCTCTCTGAAGTCATGCAACTTCAGTTAGGGAAATGGCCGAAATGAAAATCCAGGATTTGAGACTTCTGATCTAATGATCCCACTTCATCATGTCATAAGCTCTTTCAGAATCTTCTAACATTTGTACACCATCTTATTCCTTCTGTGTACTCAGTAAATGCCCCTGGGATTGTTGGTCTAGTACTCACTATACTTAAAAACAACCAGAGAAAAACTTGTCTCTTACCAAATGATAAATTGATTTCAGAATAAAAGTTTACTGTAGTAATTTTTTCAGTGTGAAGGTTGTTACCTGTAAATGAAAAAAAAGTATTAGGAGAAAAGGCACAAACAGTTCAACTAACTGTAACAACAGCAAAATAAATTATGTCTCAATTTTTTTTTTACATGAAAGATTAACATTTCAACTGACACTACAAGTGTTTTCTAACTTGGCTTTAACTCACAGAATTTGAGTTGGGTGGAAAACGTTTGATATTACTTTTCCCATGAATGTTTTCCCATACTTGGTGTTGCCAAAGAGATGAGTTTGGCAGTTTAACTAAATATTGACTAATTCATTCAAGCATCAAAGCTAATGTATACTTACAGATAGCAGTTGCCACAAACAAACTTCAGGCAGAATATCTTATTGCTAGATATGATAACTAGAAAATTGTAAGAATTTTAAATCATGGCTCTACATGTTGAGAGATCAAAAGGAAGCCTTTTAAATCAGAAAGAACAGACTTCAGAATGATCCAGGGTTGTTTGCTTCCCCAGAGAAAATGTTCTTTCAGGTGCCAAGAACATTTTTTTTATTTTTCTAAATTCCATCCATCCAGGCATCCATGCATGCAAGCACGCATATAAACATGCATGCATCCTGCATACCTGTGACAAATACAAAGCTGGATCCCCGGGATAAAATGGTTTCTGCTCTGAGTTTCTGTTCTAAATTTAAAGGCAAACTCAGAAGTTTCCAAATGTGTGACCTTTTTTGCCCTTTATCAAATTGATTGCTTTTGCTCACCCTTCCAACTTTCATTTTGTTGTCCACCTGTTCGTGGGAAGCATAGGCACCTTTGCAGACAGATTTCAGTCTGGCTTTCTTCCATCCAATTGCAATGGGCCTCTGATCTTTTCAGGGCTGGCTGCTTGCCACTCATGTCTCAACTTAATAAGCACCTCCTTGGAGGGGCCTCTTTTAACTATCTCATCTGAAGTAGTCAGTCACCAGCTGCCATCACATCAACCTGTTTTATTTTCATTGTAACATTTGTCTTTGATATTTTTTCATTTGCTTATTTAATCGATTCCCCTCTCTGCCATGAAAGCTCTATGAGGGCAGACAGGTGCCTCATCTGCTTGTTTGCCTCTGAATTCTGTAATAGTTTGAAACGCAGTTGGCATTCATTAAATATTTGTTAACTGAATGAATGGATTCTTAATTGGCTACTACTGTGTAAAGGTCTACGAATACTGATTCATCCTTGTTGACAAGTTTTTACTTCTCACATGTGTGCATATTTATCAGAATTGAAAACTAAGTCTTAAAAATAAAAAGTGTGGAAATGTGGGAAACATCTGGCAGAAAAATAATTCTGGCACTCGCAGTGATGGAAGGAAATTTTTTTCTCTGAAGTAAGCAGGTTGTTGGCCTCTTTATCCTTATCATCGGAAAATGCTTGCCTATTTTTGTTGTTTTCCTCAGAAACTGGGAACATCTGGCTTTGGGAACACAGAACGTTGTTCGCTTTTAAAGCAAAGAGTCATAATAACTTTAGGAGTTGAGAGTAAGAGAGAAAATGCCCGTAGAAAATGAAGGCAGTCCGGAGAAAGAAGAGGCTCGTATCCCTTTTAAGGAACAGGTTTCCTTGGCTCTTCGAGAGTGGTTCTTAAAAGAATCTTCCTAGAAAGTCCACAGTTGGGTCCTTACTAAATAAGCCGACTAAATAGTAGAGGGGGGAAAAAGTATGTGCCTGGCTCCTCCTCGTTCAGATTCATACCGCCTCCTGAAAGTTGTGGCTACAGGACATGCTTTGGGTGCTTTCTAGAACGTCGCTCTGATCCCTTTAAAGGTGGGGATCTTGACGGAGAATGCGGGGGAAGAAGGCGGGAGCTGAGGGCTGGAGAGTCTCGGTTGACATAGTAACTCTTCAGCTCGGTCTCCCTTGCTCTCTGTTCTCAGGCTTTGCTGCCACCCGCGGCCCCGCCTGTGCTCTCTCTGCCCTGGAGCCCCGGACGCATCCTCGCGGGGTCTCCTCGGCCTGACCCACTCAGGTCAGGGTCCCCTTTTCACCCCCTTAAGTGGTGACTTCTCCCTGAGCCAGCGGGGGAGCCACACGCGGCGGGCATCTGCACCCCTGCCTCATCGCCGTCCCCTGGGCACCGGTCTGCTCGGGACCGGTTCGGCCGCTGACGCGGGCCCTTCGCACAGGGTCCCTGCTGGAACTGTCCCCTCGCTTCCCCCGGGAGTGGGACCCAGGCCAGTCGGGCGTTCCTGTCATGAGCCAGAGCCCGGAGTTCGGGCCCCGGAGGGGCAGTTCTCCCCGGGGCACAGTCGGAGCCGGTGCGCGGCGCAACGAGAGCCAGGACTATCTGCTCATGGACTCGGAGCTGGGAGAGGACGGCTGCCCGCACGCCCAGCTGTCTTCTTACGGCTACTACCCCTGCTTGTGAGTGCCAGTGGCGCGGGCGGGTCGGGCGCCGGCTGCGCGGAGGGAGGCTGTGCGCTTTCACAAGTGGCCGAGCCCGGTCCGCGCGCGCTCTGAACCCGCGTGTGTACCTCCTAGACGGTGCTGGGAGGTCTGTGAGAGCCAGGGCTGGGACCCGAGTGAGTGGAGGGGCGCGCGGGGAGTGGGGGTGTGTGTGTCTAGGTTTGCTCCTGGTGAGTACCCGTGGATATGTTTGCCCACGAAAGTGACACCGCCGAGTACCAACACCATTGCAGGTGATGAAAGAGCTGGTCGATTTCTCCAGAACCCTTGATCCTGTGCTCTCGAAGAGACTGGATCGCTGCGTAATAGGCATGATAGGAACAGGTGGCTGATTCAGATGTGCGCCCTTGACTCAGCCTCTGTGGGAGAGAGGACTACACCACCAAGGGTTGGAGCCGCCTGGTTGCCTGTGGGTAACTCTGGAACTCGCGCGCCTGGCGGTCTCCACGCCTGGCTTAGCGCTTCAGGCTGAGCGCAGAGGTTCTTGGACTGCCGGACAGCCAAAATTAGAAGGCGTGCTTGGAAGGGGGTGGACATGTTCCCCAGGATATTCTCTCCTCGGTCCTGGGGCCTTGGGGTGAAGACAGAAATAGAATCAATAGGCCTCCCCACTGGCTGTGCGAAGGTTTTTTACCAGGGGCGGGCGTCGGGGGAGACGAGCCTGTCAGTGGAGTGGGCCGGGAGACTCCTGGGCTGTAAAAGTGAGGGCGTCGGGGTCGTTTGTATTGGCCTGTGGGTAACTACAAGGTTTATTTGTGAATCTAGGGTAGTGTTTTTAGCGGGGTGGGTGGAGGGAGGAGAGGTAGGGAGTAAGCAGGGTGGACTCCAGAAGAAAAGACTCCGCTTCCCCCACACCACTGTGACCACATGTGCAGCGGGCAGATAGCATTTAAGCCCTTGCCCCTTCGGGTGATTGGGTAGTTACGTTTCCTGACTTGTCACATCCGCCCGCAAGCGGTTTCTCCAGGTTCTCAGCTCTATAAATAGCTTTAGTTGGAGGGAGGATTCCTCCCCTTAGGAGCCTGGGAGACCCTCCTAATAGATGGGGTGGTGTGTGAGGGCTGCCTGCCTCAAAGCCTGCTGCGGTGCCCTTCCTAAGTAAGAGGTGTGCCCCAGTAAAGGATCGCTGCGTCTAAGCGATCTAAAAGAGCACCTAAAAGAGGTGAGTCCCAGTAAAGAGAGTATCTAACTTTTCTCAAAGATAAAAGAAAATAGTTAGAACTGGTTTCATTAATCTGTGTGCTGTGCAAGTTAAGAGCATTTACAATTTTTTATATATTCTTATTTTTAAAAGATCAAGACATAATTCCCATATCATATAATGCCCCCATTTAAGTTGTGCAATACACTATTATTTAGTATATCCATAAAGTTGCATAGCCATCACCAATATCTAATTCCAGGACAATTTCATCATCCAAGAAATCTTATACTTGATGTGTTTAATTAGAAGATATTTTTATGTCTCGTAGTACAGACTCTTCCAACTTTAATGCGTGGCATAAAGAGTGTCTGGAAATCTTGTTAGAATGCAGGTTTTGAGAAGGCAGGTCTTAGGAACAGCCCAAGGTTCTGCATTCTTGACAGTCCCTTAGATGATGACAAGGTGGCTCATCCATGGACCACCCTCTGAATAACAAGGTGATATATGATGAGAAAAAATAAGAATAGAAAAAAAAAATTAATCCTGGATATTCGGAAATGCTGCTATTTAAAAGTTTGCTTTGAAAGTGTAAGTTTAAGGTACAGATGGAATTTTTATTGGCTTAAACTTGAGATATCCTAGGGTTATAGGTCTGGCACCATTACCTCCCGACTAAAGTAAGTGACTAAACGTTTATACTGCTTTTAAAAAATTAGACTGTACCATGAACAAAACATTTTTTTTATTCTATAATCTCTATAATCACTTGTCACTGTGTCTGTCAAAAAATATTTGATTAAAAAACTTGTGGTTATATATCAGTAGTGAGAGAGACTAAAGAAAGTAATATTTCCACGTTGTCCTGAAAACTTTCCCCAATGCTTTCTTCAAATGTGGCTTACTGCCTAATTTGTCTGTTTATTGTTATTATGTTTTTCAGCTACAGGTTCTCACTGTGCTGCCCAGGCTGTCCTGGGCAAAATACATATTCACATGTGCTATTTTGTGAATATGTATTTTTCTCTCTTAGTTCGAGAATCCTGGACTATTCTTAATAAATAGAACTGAGCACCAGGGTGATAAACAAATATTTTAATGTGCTTCAATTCATAACATCCACCCTCTGTGTCATGTAAAGGTACTGTAATACATGTAAGAGTGAGCCATGCTCTAGAATTTGAGTTTGATTTTATATGAATCTATTATTTCCAAAAGATTCTATAGTTATTTTTCATCCACAGTTTTCTCTGACAAGGTTTTAATTTTTCCAGTTCAATAATCAACTAATGGAAAAATTTTAACCAATAAACAAAAGTATTCCATACCTATGATGTATGAGAAAGAGCTAAAGAAAATTACTTTCTCTGGTAGAGTAGAAATCAACTCTTTCATATGCTTTTGACTTGTGATTTATACAATTTCATTTTTTTTCCAGTGGGAGGTGTATTTCTGAAAGTGGCAATCACTAGTACATTTTAGATATGAATATTGTCATTTTCTCAAATCATTGAGATTTTCACTTATAAGATCTCAAGTCTTTGTAAGTTGTCATTTCTGTGGAATAAATTCTGTGACTCTTGCCAAAAATTTCTGTTGCATAGTTTTATTAGTAAGATTTTTGTATATATTTAAGGGGCTTTTACTTCTGAAAATTATGGTAAATTATCTCATTTGTGAGCAATTATATATTATAAAGCCTTAAATAGTAAAAGTAGTAACAAGTTAAAATGGCGTTTAGAAGAAAATGACTCAGATTTTCTTTTTTTTTTGATTTTCAATAGCAAATCAATTAATACACTCGATCAATTTGTAATGGTGATTAGCAAGAAAGGCCCATGTTCTGCCAAGTTCCCAGGAGGAATTTCAGATTTCCTTTATTTAGTTAGAACTTTAAAGATATGTCTACAGTTCATCACTTCTGAATTTGGGGAAGAATCCCAGACATTAAAAAAAGTTAAGCATTTCTAAAATTTCAGGACATGAAAACACAGTCCAACTAAACTTTCTGCTTGGGAAGGAGTAAATGATTAATTATGAATAATGAAACAGTAAACTTTAAAGCACTGGCAATGCAGTTGACGGAGACAATGTGAAAAATTTATGGTTACAAACACCTAACCTAGTTACACCTAGCAGTACTGAATGAAAGACTTTTGAGTAGTTTTAAAACACTACCCAACTTTGGGAAAAATAGAAGAGCAATCTACCATGTGCCAAGAACAAAGATGTTAAAAGTGAGTACAGATTGTGAAGTGATGATGTGGCTACCATAGGAGTTATGGGTCTTGCTGACCAAGAAGCCTGGAATCTAATGTCCATATGAGACAGAAAGAAGGTAAACTCTTGGTGCCAGGTGAGTAGAGAGCTGGAACTGAGATATCCCTGTGCCCTGCATAAAACCATTAAATAAAAATATAGGCTAGAAATATATGCCCACCAACATAGAGTCAGAACAAGAAACTTTATTAGTAAGACAAAGAGAAACCTCCCCCTTGAGAATTTCAATTTTGGGTTTTTTGTTTTTGCTTTTATACTCTACCTAACTAGCCTAGAAATTCTCAACCTGGAAAATACTCCTGGGGCTCCTATGAGAGTAAAACACAAGATCATTATGAATGAATAGTACCAAGCATCTAGATTGCCTAGGATTTTCAGGAAGAAAGCAAGTCTGGCTAAAGATATGCTAGCTACAATGAATGACAAAATACACAAGGAAATCATCGACCAAGAGTGAGAGTCAGTGGATGATACAATCCATGACTGAGAGTTGACACACTACATGCAGTAGTGAGTGGACTTTTAAAAACTTGAGGTAATAAAACAACATGAAAAAGAATATTTAAAACGTACATATAAATGTTGACAATATAAATGAAGAAATCAAACCCTAAGGAAAAAAACAAGACATTTTTACAGAAAAAAAAAAGAACATCTATAAGTAAAAAATAGAATTCTTAAAAAGTTCAGTGGAAGGGTTAAATGTAGACTAGACAGACCTCAATTGATGATAATACTCAAAATGCAGAGACATGAAAAATAGAAACTATAACATCGTTAAGAGTAATGGAGCTAGAAGGTAAGAGTTCTGGGAAAAGAAAACATTAGAAAGAGGAGAGGCAACACTTGAATAGATAATGGGTAAGAATTTCCCAGAAATGACGAATTCTCATGTTCATGAAGTATACCAATGTAGTATAAAACAGAAAATTAAACCCTTTCTAATGTATCATTTAATTTTCAGAATACCATAGATAAGAGGACATACTAAAAATCAATCAAAACATAGAAATATGAATGAGTTTTAAAAATCAAAGTATTTACAGTGGAAAGGAACTCATATTTTGATATTACCTTGGTTATATAATGTATAGCTTGTAAGAACTGTGTCTTTTCTATTACATAAAAGGTTTACTCTCCAGTTATTAATGGAGTCAGTGCTTTACTGCTGATAAGGTCTCTGATGGATATGTACTAAACATTTTTAAAAGGTGACATTGAATCACAGTCTTAGGGGAAACTGAAAGTGATTCTTAACTCTGTCTTCTATTTCATATGAAAAAACAAAAAAATGACTTTTTAAAAATAGGTCAGAGATTCTTTAAAATTTTTATTGACTTCAGGAGGGTTTTGGATGATCTGAACCCCCGATTTATGAACCCCAAGATCCAGAGTTTGAATTCCCCATTTAAGAAAGGTAATGTTAGAGACCGCAAGTAAATAAAAGCCCCCACGTATAGCCTTCTTTTCTCCAGGTAAAAAAATTAGTCTTGAATACAATGACAAATAACTAAGGGAATGAAAAATTCAGACTATA